CCCTGATGATGGAGGCAGTATGACCTCTGAAACGTTGGTAACAACTACCAGACTACACAGCGCAACAACCCAGAAGACAGAGATCTTCATACTCATCGCTGTGAGAACCTCAAGTCTTACAAAATAACTCTTAATTATAACGAGGTTTAGACCCACTGGACACATTCCGAGGTTATACAAATAATTTCTTTCATGCAGCCTGGAACTTATGCGACACTCTGTATAGTCTGAGATACTTTCATCGTCATTACATTATTTCTACTACTGACAGTAAAAATGTTAGGGAACATAACAAAGAACAAATATCGATGCCATAATCCGATGCAACTTATCGGAGCGAGTGTAGGGCTACAATGTTTTGATTGTGCTGTTTCAGAGAGAATGCAGAATCCGGTGAACCTGTTGCTGGTTGCGGGTCTGTGCGTTGTCATAAGCATGGCAATGCCCTGTTGGAGTGACCCCCTCCCAGCAAGCGCTGAGATCGCTTCTCGCCCCACCAGACCTAAAGTGTTCACCTCTCCAGACCAGCTCAGGGACTATCTGCAAGAACTGGGAAATTATTACGCCATCGAGGGTCGACCCAGGTACGTTTGACGGGAGTGACCTGTTATGGAGTTGATTTAATACTTATATTGCTACTCTTATAACAAGAATCTTCACGACAGGCGTTGCTTGTGTAAGCCCATGCAAGTTGTGGAAACATAAACTGATCTGACACTTCAGGATGCACTAAGACTGAGAGATATTTCGTCTGGGCTTCCGAGTTACATAACAGCAGAGAAAGCAAGGGAGTTATGAATTATCACGAAAAGGATCGGACTCAGGCTAACTCTCCTATAATAGTTAGTTAAAAATAAATTTATATATGAACATGGTCCTTCCACCACAACACAGAACTAAATTAGAAAACATTAAATTATTAAAATATTTTGGAACGACGGTAAAATAGTTAAGCAAACCTAGCGCGCTACACGCCATGTAGGCACTAGGGGGGGAGTAGAGCTCCTATTCATTTTTAACCTCAACACTACATAGGGGGTGAGTAGTCAGCGTCACTCCCCGGCAGAATTTTATCCCCGGGGATTTTGATCGACGGTAACATAAAAATCATACTTGTAAAGAAATTAAGAGTTTAAATTTCAGAAATGCCTTCCATCTTTCAGTTGATAAACATTTAGCACCCTAAGCATGTCTAAGATTATAAAGATCAACACATCAGAACGTTGTTATTACATCTAGTAGAATTTGGTCTCTTGTATTCAGGGAAGATGACAGTTTTGAGGAGACTGCTTGGACGTAACCCATAGAAAACTAGAAATTACAATACCGAGAGCTTCATTTGGTCCTACGCTTAATCAACTATCAATTATTAAGGTTAGCAAACCAAAGAGGAATTAGAGGTTTCGAACTATTTATTACTCGAGGATTCTGCACAGGACCTCAGCAATTATATCAATTGGGTACATTCTGTGCGTCCGAGGTTTGATTCCCGGCAGGCACGTAAGCGAGTAAAAGTTGCTTCTGTTAACTTCGCCATGGCTGTCAGTCCGTCTGTCCGCTAGTGACCACACGAAGTCAGGTTGTGCCAAAATGGAACGTTTCTTACACTAATTGTATTATTTTCAGATTTGGAAAGCGTTTGGACACACCGACGTACAGACCTAGCAACAATATTCTGGGACTCCCGGTCACAGCGGGACTGTCATCTGCTGCTTCTCGCGGCAACTACTTCCGGTATCCAACGCAATCTGCCGTCAGGAACGATCTCTTCCAGATGCTGTTCCCCTATGACGAGTAACAAATCACACGGATTATGGCCTCTTGCAAAACCTCGCGTCGTTAATCGTATCAGTACAACCCCCCTTTAATTCCTAACCTCACTTTCCATGTGTTGGCAAAGACCTGCTTCTTGTAATCCTTGATCGCTAATTATTCTGAAAGAACCTAAATATGTCCATGTAAATTTTTGGACTATAAAGGTAAATGTATAACTGTGCAAAACGATTGTTAAATTTCTAACCTCAAATTGAAGAATTTATCCTTTCATCACACCGAAAGCATCGTTAATTATAAGCAAATTAGACAAAAACAGAAATGGGAAATTAATATGAAAGACTTTTAGTAAAGACAAAATTCTGAGTTCAGTCTCACATATCAAAGAAGCTTTATTACTCTGCAGTAAATTAATTCAACGTATCATAAGTCACTCCATTTCGTGAAAACAAATTCATATTTATAAAGTGAAAGCTCATAAGTCTAACAGAATTTTTAATTGGTTTTACACTATTAGACCATCATCAAGACTGTACGATACATAAAATCATGTAACTTAAATGTCGTGTTAACACGAGTTGGAAGAATTCAGATATTATAATTGGATTTAAAGATAAACTGTGTACACTGCATTTTGTTTTTAAACTTAACGAATCACAGAAAAACACATACATATATGTGACTGCAGCAGAATTACTAATTAATAAACTATTCTGAAGACACACAGCTAATTACTTCCAAAGAAATGTA